AAGCGTTCTTTCGTATGACGGCTCCGAGGCCCCGCAGGCGCCCCCGGAGGCGGAACACAACGAGAAACCTTCCGTCGTAATTTTGCACATGACCCGAGCAGGTCTCCTCCTCCGCCTCCTCCGCCTGATCTTCCCCCCTCCTCCTCCTCCTCCTCCTCCTCCTCCTCCTCCTCCTCCTCCTCCTCCTCCTCCTCCTCCTCTTCCCCCTCCTCCTCCTCGAGCGACCGGCCGCGGCGCGCGCTCCGCCATTTCCCTTGGCACGTTGGCGCGCGGCGGCGGAAGCGCCGCCCCCGCGGGCGCACCTCGTGCGCGCACCGCGAGGCGCGGGCGCGTCGAGGCACGCGCGCGCGTGCACGCAGCCCCCGGTCGTCCCGCTGGCCCCTCGAGTCGTGAACAGAATCACCATGGAAGTGCGGTTTGCTCGATTTGACTCGACTCGGCCCGATGTCGCTCCGCCGCCGCCGCCGCCGCCGCCCTCTCCACTTGTTCGACGTCCCCTCTTCCCCTCTCCACCCCTCTCTCTCCCCCTCCCCCTGCGCCGGGGACAGACATGATTCTTGATATCACGTTCTCTCTTCCCCTCTCCTCAGACCAACTCGAGTCACGAAACAAAAATTATCCCAGTGCGACCCTACCTAGGAGTTGGAACCCCTAGGAAAGCAGCATTAGTAGTAGCAGTAACGCTAGGCTAAAGCTAAGCTAAAGCTAAGCCACAGCTAAGCTAAAGCTAAGCCACAGCTAAGCTGAAGCTAGGCTAAAGCTAAGCTAAAGCTAAGCCACAGCTAAGCTAAAGCTAAGCCACAGCTAAGCTAAAGCTAAGCTAAAGCTAAGCTACAGCTAAGCTCAAGCTAAGCCAAAGCTAAGCTAAAGCTAAGCTAAACGCTAAGCGAACAGCTAAGCGAAACGCTAAGCTAAAGCTAAGCTACAGCTAAGCTAAAGCTAAAGCTAAAGCTAAAGCTAAAGCTAAAGCTAAAGCTCCCAGGGGACTGGGGGGAACCGCTCCCAAAGGACTGGGGGAACCGCCCGGGGCGTGTTGCACTGCCCGGCCCCTTGCAGCTAAGAGAGTAAGAACCCTTCTGGGCAGAGCCTAGGTAGGGAATCACGACGGGGAGATGTTCACAATTTTCCGGCCTCTGGGCGCACAAGCCAGGCCTCGGGGCCGTCCAACAGCGGCTCATGATGGAGAACTGGTCCCGGGGAATGGGTGGAGACCTGAGGGGGTCATGACGTCGGGGTCTGTGTCCCTCCCCCCCTGAGGGCAATGGAAGGACTCGGCCAGGCCGAACTCGGCCAGCTGATCTCGGTCAGGCGAAACTCGGCCGAATTCGGCTCGGCCGAGCTCAGCCTGGCCGGGATCAGCTGGCCGAGTTCCGTCTGGCCGAGTTCAGCCTGGCCGAGTCCAGCCTGGCCGAGTGTTTCGGGGCCGACCTCCCTTGGAGTAGCATGTGCGACCTGCTTTCGAACAGGAGCGTCCCGTAGACGGATCTACCATGTCTTCGACCTTGTACTGCGCCGAATGCAACGGCCGCGTTGTCTATACATGCGTACACACCGCATGCTTCTATATTGTATATATATACAGATATACACAGATATACGTAACGACACCCAATGTGCTATGATTATATAACGCTTGTGGCTAGAATGTGAGGACCGTATTTGGCATAGGCCAGAGATACTGGCCGCCCGCCTAGAAGCAGGAAGATTTTGCCCTCCAGTCCCCCCCCCCGATGAGGGGGAGCGTTCGGGCGAAAATGTCAGATTCGAGGCTTGAATCTTTCGGGCGTGATCGTCGGTCCTCGGCGGTTTTTCAGCCTCGGGGTGCCCTCCGGGAGCTGCACCTCGCCGAGAGCGCTCCGAGGGGTGCCCCGAACCGTTGTCGGAGACCCGAGAAACACCCCGCCGACTCAAACGTAGGACCCGTCGGGGCCCATCTGGCAAGAAAGACCTTCTGGGGCTCACTGGAGAACCCAGAGGAGCAAGTTTCCGCGGAAGAGAGGAGGAACGTCCCTGGCGAGAGGCTCGCGCACGTGGGCTATCCTCGTCTCAAATCTCGGAAGAAGAGACGACTCTCAGTCGCAGGGATGCTCGCGCGCGGGACTGCAAAACCCTTGGCGCAAACAGGGGGGGCAAAAACGCGAGAGCCCAGATGGCAGATGAGATACAGCAGCACTGTAAAACTAGTTGCACGAAAGTCGTGCCAATACTAGTTTGACTGGGGAGGGGGGTAGCTTGTTCTACTGTAGTGCGACTTTATCACCCCAATAGTTACCCTCATGCTGTACTTTAGGACCAGGCGCACTCTAGTATTAGCTGCACGCTAGTACATGCTAGTATCACTTGTTCTCATGTACTTGTTGTCCTCCAATCTGAACGGTTCGGGTGTTCCAAGGACAAGGCGCGCGCGGAAGAAGGCAAGAAATCCAAGCGCCGCACGGGTCGCCGCGAAGAGACCCCCCGTGGAAGGAAGAACAGAAAATCCGCATCGGGGGGGTGGGGGGTTCAGGCGTGAGCTGGGGAGGTGATGCCCCAGCTGCGACCCGAAAGGAAAGCGGGGGAGGGGACCCGCTCAGGGGGCGGGGGACATCGAGCTCGGATCGACGATGCGTCGCCGATAGATCGGCGATCGGCCCCCGATGCCGAGTCCGCACGTTCTTGGGGTGGGCGGGGTGTTCTATCGGCCCCCTCCCTAGAGGTGATCACTGAGCGACTAGGGGTCGATACGTCCCCCCAAATAGCCTAATAGCCTATCCCCCCCTACCCGGTAGGCAGCCGATAGATCGTAAATAGGTGGGCGGGGTGTGCTATCGGCCCCCTATCGGCGATCAGTGAGCGATTGGGGGCCGATGCATCTCCGCAATAGCCTTGGGCGGAGTGTGCTATCGGCACCCTATCGGCGATCAATGAGCGATTGGGGGACGATGCGTCCCCGCAAGAGTCCATCCCCTACGGTCAGCACTCCACATCTGGCGTGCACGTGATGACTGTAATGTGCACGCTATTCGGGGGCCGTATAGAATGCATGTCGTAGGATGGGTGCACTCTATACGCGGTTGTGCAGCGTTTAGCGTGCACTGCCGATGGCTGAGACAAGAACGTTTAGCGTACACGTCTTGAGGTCTAAGCAAAAAAAACGTTTAGTGCACCTGCGTTTTCAGAATGTCGATCTGGCTCTGCAGTCCCTGGAACCACACTCGGCCTTTCGGCCTCCGCAGGCCCGAATCACTTCTGGCTCCTCCTCCACCTCCTCTTCTTTCCCGGCCTCCTCTTCCTTCTCCTCCTCGCCCTGCTCCTCCTCTTCCTCCTCCTCCTCCTCCTCCTCCTCCTCCTCCTCCTCCTCCTCCTCCTCCTCCTCCTCCTCCTCCTCCCCTCCCCCCCTCCTCCTCCTCCCCCTCCCTCCCCGGGAAGGGGTAGGGGACGGGGTAGGGACGGAGTGGAGAGGTGACGGGGTAGGGGACGGGCTATGCACGCACGCCCAGGAAAAAGGCAATGTAAACATACCACCAACGTAAAAACGCTTAGCGTGCACGTCCGCTTGCAACGTAGACACGTATAGCGTGCACGGTCGGTGAGTAATTTTGTTGTCCCTCAAAGGGGGTCGTGCACGCTATATGCGGCGTTTTGACCGTAACGTTACCCCCGACCCCCGCCCTGCCTCCTGCTGGAACTCAAGCCGCTGTCGTCAGCGCCGTCACTGTCATGGCCGCCGTCGTCACCGTCGTCGCCGTCCATCCTTTCCTCCTCCTCCTCCTCTTCTTCTTTTTCTTCCTCCTCCTGCTCCTCCTCGTCCTCGTCCTTCTCCTTCTCCTCCTCCTCCTCCTCCTCTTCCTCCTCCTCTTCCTCCTCCTCCTCCTCCTTCTCCTCCTCCTCCTCCCCCTCCTCCTCCTCTTCCTCCTCCTCCTCCTCCTCCAGAAACCTAAGGAAACCAGAACCCTCTGGATACATCAGGTGGCATTTGGAGACCTCTCCCAATCGCCCAATCGCCACGTCACGGCCGGACGCGGCTCGGAAAACTGGTCAGGACAGCCCGGAGGAGGCTGTGAAGAAGCCGCGCAGAACATCCTGAAATTCTACGGGGGTCCCGGAAGGCATCCCTGAAATCCCCAGCGTGAAATGGAACGACTCGGAAAACCCATTTTCCCCTGCACAACGGTCCAGAGGACAGCCGGAGGTCTAAAAAGGATCCGAAATTTTGGAAAACCTGTCCTCGTCCACGACCCTCCTCCACCTGGGTCCTCCTCGATCCTCGATCCTCGATCCTCCGCCTCGTCCTCCTCCTCCTCCGCCTCGATCCGCCGCCTTGGTCCTCCTCCTCCTCCTCCTCCTCCTCCTCCTCCTCCTCCTCACCCTCCCCGTCCTCCTTCGCCTCGGTCCTCCCTCCTCCTCCTCCTCCTCCTCCTCCTCCCCCTCCTCACCCTCGATCCGCCTCCTCGATCCCCCCCCCCCCTCCTCCCTCCCTCGCTGCGCGACGCGGCCGCGCCCCGACCCGGGGGCCGCAGATAAACCCATTCGAGCTGGAGAGGGCGCCCGGCGCCCCGTGGCAAAAAACACGCCGGGCCGCCCATGCGCGGTCGGCCCGGGCCCCCGGCGTCGTGGCACCCAGGCCTCCGGCGAGGCAGTCGGGCTGCTGCCCTGCAATCCCAGACCCCCTCGAGCAATGAAAAAATCATGACGGGAGGTTTTTCCTGATTTTCGGCCTCCAGGGGCCCTCACCGGGCCTCGGGAGCGTCAAAAAACGACTCAGGATGCAAAGCCGGTCATGGGGAAAGGGTCGGGACCTCTGGGGGTCGACGTAATGAAAAAATCATTACGTCGGGGGTCTGGGGTGCGGGCGCGGTCGCAGGAAACCCTCGCAAGAAGCCCAAACCCGAAAACCTGCGCGAGAGGTGCACCCGAGGGGGAAGCCCGGAGCGCCCTGAGCGCGGCAGCTTCTGTGACGGCCGCGAGAAGGCGCCGCGTAGCGCGCGGAGCGAAGAAACCCAGGGTACCCTGACGGAAAGCAGATGGTTTCTTGCTGCGCGTCCCCACTGTGCACCCCTGCTCAGAGTTCAGATGCTCTATGCTGAGGAAAAATAAACTTCGCTCGAAGCGATTTTAGCAATGAGGCCGGGTCCAAATCTACGATCGTTCTATGAGGAAGGGAAGCTCCAAGAAACGCTCAGGGTCCTGCCTGGGTTCTTGATCTTCTTAAGCGAAATCTGGAGTCCACAAGAGTAGACGCTTTTTCTTAAGATGTCTGATGGGTGTGAGGAACGCTTTAAAACAAACGGAGCCCTTTTCAGATCCGCTCCGAGCCGGCTCCAATTGGCCACGGACCTTCCCACGAAGGCGCTCTGAGGCCGCCCAACAGAGCCCAATGGGCTCCGAAGAGAAGCCCAAGAATGGTTCCAGAGCGTCAGCGTCGTCGTCCTCCCCCTGCAGGGTCGGCGGCACAGGTCGTAATGCCTTCGCAGTGAAGAACAAGGCCGCTTTGTGTTCCAAACCGAGCCGTGAAATTCGGAGGGACGGCTGTAAAACTCGAGAGAGCACCGACGGGGCTCGCCACCAACGACCGGTCCAGTACGCCCAAGATAGCCTCCAGACAGCCCAAGAAGCCTCCAAGACGCGCCAAGAGGCCTCCAAGGGCACTCCCACGAGGGCCCCACGAGGCAGACTTCATTGACTTTCCGTTGGCTTTTGATAGATTTGGGCGTTCTCGCCTTTTCGCAAGAGGCTCCCGAGAGGCCCCCAGGTGGCTCCAAAACTGCCCCCCAGAGGCCCCCGAGAGCGCTCAGAAGAGACCCCAATAAGCATCCCTGAGGCCTCTGACACACGTCAGCGTCGTCGTCGTCGTCGTCGTCGTCGTCGTCGTTTTCGTTGTCGTTGTCGTTGTCGCGGTCGTCGCCGCCGCCGCCGCTGCTGCGTCGTCCTCCTTCAGGGTCGGCGGACTGGCCGCAAGGCGTCCGCAAGAAGGAACGAAGCCGCTTTGTGTTCCAGGCCGAGCCACGAAGTCCGAAAGACGGGCCGCAAAATCCGAAGGAGCACCGAAGGGGCTCGCGCCCACAAAAGCAACGCAACGCATGCAAGCCCAAGGAACCACCGAGCCCCCGCCGACCTCGGACTGGCCGTGATTCCAGCGAGCTGACTGCACGCTTCCTTCGACCCCGCGCTTGACCCTAGACTTCGGCCTCTGGGACCGCGGGCCCCGGGGCACTACCACGAAGGGGAACTGGGACACACAAATAAATACACACAAATAAAAATACCCCCCATATTTTCTCATATTTTCTGGGTTTTTGTCTTCCCCCCCACTTCCCATATTTTCCCATATTTTCTTGGAATCGCCGATTAATTGTGTCTGTGTGTTTTTTCCCCTCCTGATACCACTTGGATCGGGGGCGAAAACTGGCCCCGGGGAAGGGGTGGGGACACCTGCAAGGGCCGCGCGTTGACAGAATCACACTGCCGGGTGCCTGGGCACTTTGACGCCCCGCCCGCCACCTCGATCCTCGGCCACACGCGGGCGTGGCCTCGGGCAAGGCTGGCCTCTTGCCCGCGACTCGCCGATCGCTGCCGTGCGATGCGGCAGCAGCGGCCTGCGCGCCCTGGGTCTGGCCCCGCTGCGATCCCCGAACGCTGCGCAGCACAGGTCACTCTGGCGAAGGGTCGCCTTCTTGCCGCGTGCGACTGGATCTCTTGAATCACAGCCCGTTGTCCGTTGCCTGGTTCTGACCTCGCGGGGCCCCTTCGGGCACCAGGGCCATCGAAGAGCCGACGGGGACGGACATCAGCGGTCCCCCGGAGTGTGGTGACCAAAAGATACCAATACCGCCACTCCCCGGACTTCTCACGGGGTGCGCTCTGGCCAGAATCTCGAGGCGGAACGAGCGGTGGCAACGAGGGCCTCCCAGGAGGCCCTCAAAACAGGAGGAACGAGGGAAGGGTAGCGGTATAGGTATCTTTTTCCTCCTCCGAGAGAGGTCTGGGAGCCACGGATTGAACGAGCATCGTTTATCCTACCCCCCTCCCCAACGGCGCGGCCTGGGCCCACTGGCCGATTGACCCCCCTGGATGGGGATATATGCCGTTTCCTTCGGGTTTCGAAGGGCATCTCCCCAACGGGGGTGCTGAGGTGGTGGGGGTCTGGATAACTACGGATGGGTATGGGGATACGGTGGATGCCTGAAATAAGGAGGCCCTTGTTAGGGAACGCGGAGGGCCGAATCGGCGGAGTTCCTTTATCTTTTGAGGAATGGTCGAGACCCTGGACCACAGGGCCTGCGCCCATCACGACTCAAGGCACTGCCCCGAACCCCGAGCTGCGCCCGCGGAGCCTTAAACCAAAAAGGACTGTCCGAGGGTCCGGCCCGGAAGCAAAGACTTCATCTGGAAGGCCTCCGCCGTTAGGGCTCGGTCAAACGATGCTGGAGATCACGCCGTCGGAGGTCCGTGGGGCCAGCTCAGCAGCAGCCAGACTTCTTCTTCTTGGAGACCTTGACCGTGCCGTCCTCTCGGAGTTGGACGAGGAGGAGGAGAAGGAGGAGGAGGAGGAGAAGGAAAAGGAAGAGGGGGAGGAGGAGGAGGATCGAGGAGGAGGGCGAGGAGGGCGAGGAGGAGGAGGAGGACGCGGATCGAGGCGGATCGAGGATGTGGAGGAGGAGGAGAAGGAGAAGGATGATGATGAGGAGGAAGAGGAGAATCGAGGATCGAGGACCCAGGCGGAGGAGGGTCGAGGATGACGAGGAGGGGGGGAAGGAGGAGGAGGAGGAGGAGGGTCAGCGAATCGGATGCACCTCGTTGGTGTCTCGGGCGCCTCCGAGGCGGCCCTGTACTGAAGGAAGTGCCTGGCGGCGGGGCCGAAGCAGGCCGCACGCAGCAGTTTTCGGGCCCCCTCCTGTCCCCACCCCTTTTGAGCTTCGTCCACCCTGGTCCTTCTTCGACTTCTTCGACTTCTTCTTCTTCTCGGTGACGCCGTCCGCCGCCTCTTGGCGGTGTGTGTGTGTGTATGTGTGTGTGTATGTGTGTGTATGTGTGTGTATGTGTGTGTGTGTGTGTGCGTGCGTGCGTGTGTGTGTGTGTGTGTCTGTGTGTGCGTGTGTGTGCGTGTGTGTGCATGTGTGTGCATGTGTGTGTGTGTGCTTGTGTGTGCGTGTGTCCCGCCCCGCCGCCGCCTGGCCCTGCTCTGAGCGGGCCCGGCTTCCTCTCCCTCCCGCCCGCGCCCGGCGTCCTCTCTCTCCCTCCCGTGCATTGCGGCTTAATTCACACTTGGTGTGTCCCACTAATGCCACTTCGCCAGAGCAGTCCCTCTGCCTAGCCGCCGACGTAAAAACGTATGTATGTATGTATGTGTGTGTGTGTATGCCTGCGCGCGCGCGCGCGCGCGTGTGTGTGTGTGTGTGTGTGTGTGTGTGTGTGTGAAGGGGGGGGGGCCTCTGAGAAAGCAACGGTGAATGACTCAGCCAGCTCTCAGAAGCCTCTGGGGACGCACGAACGAACGAACGAACCACCTCAACGGACAGCTGTCCAGGGCTGGCTGAGACCAGGTGGGTGAGGCCATGACCTCCTGGCCCTGGTACTGCTGAAGCATACAAGCATGCTGCTTCTGAGGAAGATCCTGGAGGCCTCGCGAGGCAACGTGAGACCAACCCTATGTCGGATCCACGTCGGGTTCAAGTCGGATCTTCGTCGGGCTTACGTCGGAACATTGCCGTGCGAACATCGTCCTGTACATGACGGGGCGGGCGTGCGGTTTAGATCATACAGCTGAGCAGTACCGCGCCTCGCACAAGGCCTCTCGGATGTTCCTGATAGCGCCGCGGACCTGCTCCTTGGAAAGTCTGCGGAACTGCTTAGGACGAGAACGATGACATGATGGTATTGACTCAGGATGCGCTTCATAATCTCCAGAGTATCGCACGGCCATCGCTTCTGCAGCCCATGTGTGATACTCGGAAATCTTGGCAACCCTGGAATTCTTGGAACGTGCCATTATCATGACCTCTTCCTCCACTGGCTGCTGCCGGAAACTGCGAGCCTGGCCACGAGTGGGGCCGCGGGGCGGCCGCGTGGTCTATCTACAGTGGCTGTATTCCGGCGTACGTGCATCCAGCATACTTGTTTTCCAAATTTGTCCTGCCCTCAATTTCAATTCGATGTGTGCCGATGCACCGTCTGGGCGCGGCTTCGTGCTGACCCTGCGACGGCAGCGAGGTCTTCACTGCCGCGCCTCCTTGACCTGCTCCACCGCTCCAACACGGCTTCACGACGCCAGCAATCAGACCCAACCGACGGATCCTCACGGGCGAAACCGACATGTGTAGGCGTAGGACGGCAACCGATCACCAGCCGGCGGCGATCATACCAGCTCAGTGCCAGCACGAAACTAACCAGACTCTTTCGCGCGCCGCCGCGCCTCCTGGACCTGCTCCACCGCTCCCGCCACCGCCTGCGGCATCTCCGGCACCTGAGCGACGAGAGCAGGGGAACCAGCAATGACATGAACAGAGAAACTCGGAGGTCTGCGCGGATGCCTCGGATCGGCGCTGGGCCCCCCCGGCGGCGCGTCCAGCGCCGCCCCTGGCGCGTGCCGCACGCCAGGAAGGGGGGTACAACGCCGATCCGAGGAATCCGCGCGGAACTCCGATGTTTATGTTTATGTCGTTATTTGTTCCCCCAGAAGGGGATCGGGTCTTGCGCACGATGACGTAGCGACCTGTGCCACGGCCTACGCGGGCCGCCAGCGTGGCAGACTGCGTGGAGAGGAGGGCGACTACGCGCGACCTCACGTGGGCAGCCTACGCGCGAATGTCCACGCAATGCGCAGTCGAGTCCGTTTTCTTCCGTCGCTCACCTGGCAGCGGGTGTTGCCAGAGGCAGTCCTGGCCCAAAAAGAAGCGAGCGAGCGAGCCTGGTTTCCAGACGGGAGCTGAACAGTACTGTACCGAGCTACTCGTGATGCGGCCCCCGCAGCGGTCAGGCTGCTTGGCGAGGAGGCGCGTGGCATTACTTGTTTTTGCCTGGACTGGAAGCGAAAGCGGGGTAGGCTTGGGTCGGGCATGTCTTCCAACAGGCGGAAGGCGGATCTTCGACGAAAATATTACATAGTCCAACAATTCTCGTTGTAGAGCAATAATCTCGTCCCCAGACTATTCCCCTATTTTTGAATCCGCCGGCCCCCTTGTGGGGCCACCAGGCTGTAGGCGCGGGTTCGCAGTTTCCTGTACCAGTTGTAGCTTGTAGTTTCCAGTGTTACTAGTTGACTTCTTGCTGGTTACTGTAACTAGTTGATTGACCGCGCGAGGGGGGGGGGAGGCCCAAACAGGATTTTTAGCCTCACCTGGGCGCGTTGTCTGAATTGCTGGGGGGGCTCGAAATCGACACCCCTCACGCAGATCCGCGGGGTCAGGGTCCAAAAACACATGGGATTTGCCACATTTCTGAAATTCGGTGCCACCCCTCACGCAGATCCGCGGGGTCAGGGTCCAAAAACACAGGGATTTGCCACATTTCTGAAATTCGGTGCCACCCCTCACGCAGATCCGCGGGGTCAGGGTCCAAAAACACATGGGATTTGCCACATTTCTGAAATTCGGTGCCACCCCTCACGCAGATCCGCGGGGTCAGGGTCCAAAAACACATGGGATTTGCCACATTTCTGAAATTCGGTGCCACCCCTCACGCAGATCCGCGGGGTCAGGGTCCAAAAACACAAGGGATTTGCCACATTTCTGAAATTCGGTGCCACCCCTCACGCAGATCCGCGGGGTCAGGGTCCAAAAACACAGGGATTTGCCACATTTCTGAAATTCGGTGCCACCCCTCACGCAGATCCGCGGGGTCAGGGTCCAAAAACACAAGGGATTTGCCACATTTCTGAAATTCGGTGCCACCCCTCACGCAGATCCGCGGGGTCAGGGTCCAAAAACACAGGGGATTTGCCACATTTCTGAAATTCGGTGCCACCCCTCACGCAGATCCGCGGGGTCAGGGTCCAAAAACACAGGGGATTTGCCACATTTCTGAAATTCGGTGCCACCCCTCACGCAGATCCGCGGGGTCAGGGTCCAAAAACACAAGGGATTTGCTACATTTCTGAAATTCGGTGCCACCCCTCATACAGATCCGCGGGGTCAACGTCCAAAAACACATGGGATTTGCCACATTTCTGAAATTCGGTGCCACCCCTCACGCAGATCTGCGGAGTCAGGGTCCAAAAACACATGGGATTTGCCACATTTCTGAAATTCGGTGCCACCCCTCACGCAGATCCGCGGAGTCAGGGTCCCAAAACCCCGGGGATTTGTCACATGTCTGCAATTCGGTGCCACCCCTCACGCAGATCCGCGAGGTCAGGGTCCAAAAACACAAGGGATTTGCCACATTTCTGAAATTCGGCGCCACCCCTTACGCAGATCCGCGGGGTCAGGGTCCAAAAACACAGGGGATTTGCTACATTTCTGAAATTCGGTGCCACCCTTCACGCACATCCATCGCAAGGCGTGGTAACCCAAACTGCGAGAACTCTCTCGGCCCTTTAATCGCAAGGTGTGGTAACCAAGCCCGTAAACCATACACCTCTTACCAATCGCCAGGTGTGGTAACCCCTCTTGTGATAAGTTGGTTTTGCTGATTGCGAATCGGCTTCGCATGAAGTTTCGATACTGTTTCACGACAGCGCCAAGGCCTCATGACTTAGCTCTTCCATGGCCCATTCTCCGAGAGAGGGGGCCGGCGGCAGGGGGCGAAGCCCTTACGGATATTCCTCCTGTAGAAGGACATGCCCGACTTCAGTGAAGGCAAATTGCCCTCAGGAAGGTGCTCACAACTTTTCGCGCCCCTCTGGAGCCTCTGGGGCCACGCGGGCCCCGTGATGGGGTGCTCTTGCAGCCATCTGCGCCTCCCCGGGAACGGTGGGGCCATCTCGGGCCAATGCCGCTTCTGGCAACACCCGTCCTGGGGGAACACAACTGTCCAGAACTCCGACAGCGTGTGTTTTTTTTGGAGGCATAACTGAGGGGCAACGAGAAGGGGGGGACTGCCTTGGGGGGGGACGCATCGACCTGGAATCGGCGATACATCGCCGATAGATCGGCGATAGGCCCCCGATCGTGAATCCGCACCTTCTTTGTGCAGGTTGGGGCTAGCGGGCCCCTATCGGCGATCAATGGGCGATTCTGGGTCGATGCATCCCCCCCTATGCCTACCCCCCCATCGTTGCCCCCGAGTTCAGAACTCCGACAGTGTGCTTGGGAGGCATAACGCCGACCCTCAGGTCCATAGACCTACTCTTAGGTCGGGCATGTCTCCCTGCAGGCAGCTTCCGACAAAAATAAAAAAAGAGCCGAACCAGATTCCCAAATAGTCAAAAGTAGTCAAAAACATCGTCCACACGCTAGCTTCTTACCATGCTTGAAGATTCCCCCGGTCCACTCCCCGGAACCGACTCTCCACTCCGAGCCGCTCTTTGAGGGCCCCGGGGCCCAGCGAGGGCCCCAGAGGCGGAACCAAGCTTGTAGAGACCTCCTGTCGCGATAGCTTCACAACGAGGGGAGGCGGGGGGCAAGGCTTGGTGCCTCTTCTCCGGTGTCCTGCTGCCCCTCCCCCTCCTCCTCCTCCTCCTCCTCCTCCTCCTTTTCCTTCCTCCTCTTCCTCCTCCTGCTCCTGCTCCTCCTCCTCCTCTTCTTCCTCCTCCTTCCCCTCTCTCCCTCTGTCCCGTCCTCCCTCCCTCCCCCCTCCGCTTCAGATCCTTTTCTCCCTCGCCCTCCTGAGCACTGCTGCGTCGCCGCTGCCCTCCCCGTCCCCCCACCGCCCCCTCCTCCTCGGAGATTCGATGTCGTGTTTTTTTCAATGTGGGGTTCCCCGAAGTCTCGACCCGTTCCCCAAGACCAGCTTTTCATTCTGAATTGTTTCTTGGCGGTCCCGGGGCCCGGCGAGGGCCCCTCGATGCAGAAAAGTACGAAAAACCTCCGTCTGGATTTTCCCAATATTGGAGGCCTGGAAATCGGCACCAACACCAGCCCAGGGGGTTGCCTCCACAGGGGGAAGATGATCCTAGAATTCGGTGTTGGTGGCAATACTTCGGCCACCCTGCAAGCCAGAATATTACTACCATCACCGAGATCGGGATCATCTTCCCTCGGTGGAGGCACACCGCCGAAATTGGTGTTGGTGTCAACCTCTAGGCCTGCGACAATACGTTGGATCTCCGGGTCCGTCCCCGTGCCGCTGCTCCGTCTCACTTCCCCCCCTCGCTCGCCGCCGGAGGATCACCTTGCGCGCGGGCCCGAGTTCTCGCCGCCAGCGCTGCTCGCAGGGGCGGAGGGCGGGCAACGCCAGGGCCTCGGGCCCCCACGGTGGGCGTGAGACTCGTGGCCGACCTCGGCGCGCTGCCCCACAAGGACCGCCCGCCACGGCATCCCCCATGCGAGCGACGAGAAGGAAGGGGTCTTACGCGAGATGGCATCGCAACCCTACGCGGCGACTTGCGCGGGCCGCCCGCGCGGCAACCCAGGATACGTAGAGCCGAGAGCGCTTCCGCGCGACCTTACGCGGGCAGCCTACGCGCCAGCGTCTGTAAAGACAAACCAGTTTTTTTGCGTCGCTCATGTGATTTCAAGTTCGGGTCGTACGAGAATGGGGCTGGGTGGTATTAGGTCGGGCATGTCCCCGTACCGGGGGATTTTGGACGAAAAATGAAAAATAGTCAAAACATATTCAAAAATAGTCAAAACATCGTTCCCAGACTATTTTCGGAATACTTCTCCAGATTCCCCCTGTAGAGGGACAGGCCAGACTTAAGGGTGGTATTGGAAAGTCCAAGTTTCGCTAGGGACTGGTGTCCCCCTAAGCGACCGAAGCCGTCTGTCACTATAGACAGGGTCATGAAACAAACGTTGAAGCACATATTATGCCTACGGGTTCAACCCGTACAGGAGGCTGTTCGGAGGGTTTCCGACGGGTTTCGGCCACTCTGGCGAAGCACCCGTCCCTAGCGAAACCTGGACTTCCTAAGGTTTGTAGAGAAGGATTAGCGAATCAGCTGACGGAGTTGATTCTCTGGACGCCTGCCAGCGCCGATGTCTCGAGGGAAGCGCCTGGCGGCGGGGCCGAAACCAGCTGCATGCAGCAGATCTCGTGCCCTCCCTCCGTATCCCACCCCTTGCGCCCGACCAGACGACAATCAAATCGACATTTCGGCCAACGCCCATCTATTCTTGTAGTCCTCCGTGCACCAGAAGCGACGGAGCGCCGCCGCCCTGTCGGCGTGTGTGAAGGGCTTTTGTCTGTTCGAGTCTTCGTCTCCGTCAGTCGTCTTCTCCGTCGTCCCCTTTCCCTGCACCCTCCTCCTCAAGCTTGTCAGCGCGAGAAAATCGAGTCGAAGAGAAGCCCCTTCCCTTTGATCCCTCCCCCATCGGGAGGGGGGTCCTGGGAGGGGTAGGGGGGGGGGGTCCCAGAGGGGGGGTGGTCAGATACGCACCCTCCCTGGGGTCCTGGGGCCTCAGAAAGTATCAAGACAGGCCAAGAGTGCCCCAAGAGGCACCCGAGACGGTCCGAGAGGGCCCCCAATCGCCAAAAGATCTGTCCAAACTGCCTTCACGCCCTCCAGACTGCCCAGGAGGCCTCCAGGACGCCCCGAGAAGCCTCCAAGATACCGAGAGGGCCCCAAGAAGGAAGCCAAAGTCATTCATTTCCCATTGGTTTTTGAAAGATTGGGGCGTTCTCGCCGTTTCCACCTCCCGCCGCTCCAAGTGGCCCCCAAGATCGCCCCAAGACGGACCAAGAGGCCTCCAACAGGGTCCCAAAACAGCTCAAGAGGACCCCAAGACAGCCCCAACCGTCTGCAAGATGGCCCAAGAAGCCCCCACGACGGCTCCAAGAGCGTGCCCGGACGGAGGACCCGAACGGACATTGGGAGCCCTCGGCCCCGAGAGGCTCCCAGGAGAGGCCCACAAGAGGTCTAAGAGGTCCCCAGAAGCCCGAAGAGGCCCCCCAAAGGCTTCCAAGAGGCCCCCAAATTCCCCCCCAGGGGTCCCCAATAGCCTTCCGAAGAGAGCCCACGAAGCATCCCTAAAGACTCTGGCCCACGCCAGCGTCGTCGTCGTCGTTGTCGTCGTCATCGTCGTCGTCGTCGTCGTCGTCGTTGTCGTCTTCGTCGTCGTCGTTGTCGTCGTCGTCGTCTTCGTCCCTTTCAGGGTCGGCGGCACCGGCCGTAAGGCCTTCGTAATCGAAATGTCGGACAACGCCCATCTGTTGTTCTCCTCCGTGCACCGGCATCGACGGAGCGCCACCGCCGCAGACCATCGGAATGAAGCCCTCCGGTGCCCCTGCGGGGAAGTACTCGGCGATCAGCTCGGCCGGCACGGGCACCGCCGACGCGACGTCCTCGGCGGACACCGTCGGCATGAGCTGCTTGGTCGCCGCGGAGAAGTACACCTTTTGGTGGCGAGTCCAGAGGGGAAGACAGAAGGGGCGGGCCTTCTATGAAGGCTTGGAAAGTCTCTGGCCTTCTGAGATGTTGTCTAAGCCTTCTCGGAAGACAGAGACTGCTTCTCAGAAGGCTGGAGGGCTTTTGAGAAGCCCCACCGCCTTCTGAGAAGGCATGCCCCTTTTCGCTTCCCCCCCCCCCCCGGCGCGCCGCCGAACCTTCATCATGCCCTCCATGGCCGGGAGCGTCGAGATTGACAAACCCTGAGGTCCTAGTGCTGCAACTTTTCCACGACGGGCCATATTGACATGTTTCGGGCCCCGGGGCCATCACACATCGATCCGTCTCGAAGAGTGCCAGAGAAAGCCGGGGTCCAGGGCTCCAATCACTAGTTGCTTGCCATGTTTTGCCATGCTCGAACTCTTCGCAGCATCGGATCTCAGGGAAAGGGGCCTGAAGGGGTTGCACACAGACCCCCCCCCGGAAGCACCCGTCCGTCGGAAGAAGTGGGTAGAACCATGAAGCAGGACAGCGTTGAAGATAGATTGGGCTTCCGCTCGCCCCCTTGAAGAGGAGGGAGGAGGGAACACCACTCGACCCGTGAAGTAGTGAGGCGCCTATAGAGCAGATTGGGGCTCCAAACACCTACTTTCTCCTCCCTCCTCCCTCCTCCCTCCTCCCTCCTCCTCCCTCCTCCTCGTCGTCCTCCTCCTCCTCCTCGTCCTCCTCCTTCTCTTGGGAAAAGGCGCCTGGGGCTCCAAACACCTACTTTCAACAACCGATGGGGCACGTGGTCCCCGCTGCCCTCGACGGGCCCCCAGGCACCATGGGTGGCCGATCCTGGCTGGTCCGACCCCCGGGGCCTGAGATCGGTGGGTGAGCCCTCCTGGCCGAGCCACGACGGCCTTGCCATCGCTCTGGCGCCCCTTCCCCGTGCATGTTCTGGCGTCGTTCCTGTTGGGCTGTCTTGGAGATGATACGAGCTGCTCCTCGATGGCCCTCGCCGAGACACAACGCACACCTCCGAGCGATGCCAAGCGGCATCCATGCTGACCCTGGACTGACCAGGGCACCTTGGGCCCCGGGCCTCCCCCGATGCTGAAGGCAGCTGGGACACCACGCTGCTCACGAATGGGCCTCGACCCGATTTGCCATGAAGAACTGGGGTCCTGAGGAACACGGGTCCTGGATACCCCGAGGGTTTCCCCCGGGACCGATCTCTCACCTCGGGCCGCTCTCGTCAACGCTCGGACGCCCATTCCATGTGCCCTTTTCGGTTTCGTTGGGTGTGATCTCGAAAGATGATCCGAGACGATTGGCCCCGCCGAAAAAATTAACACGTCCGAGAAATGCTGAGTCTTTCATGGGGCCCCAGAAGGACGCAAACGGTGAGAATCCCCCTCCACGATCCCTTTCCCTCAGGACCCCCTCATCAACGATCCTTGGTCGTGGCGACCGATTGGCCGGACGAATGCGGTCCGTGGCTGTGCCGAACCAATCCGCAGAATAACCCGAACCGGCAGGACCGATCCGATCGCACACCGAGCCGAAAAAAACCGACCCGCAACGCAAGCCTCGTTTGTGTATACCTCCGGGGGGCCGCCTGCGCAACCCTGGCGCAAAACGCAATCCGTCTGCGTGGTATCTTGAGCCCAAACGGCTGAACACAGGAGGGGGAAGGAAGATAGTGGGCTGGAGAAGCAAGGATACTCAGGGATGATGATGACGGTGATGCTGGTACTGGTGATGATGACGGTAGTGGTGACGATGCTCCTGTTAGTCATGATTATACCGATGATAATGGTGATGACGATGCTGCTGAAGACGATGCTGGTGATGATGTTGATGATGCCGATGCCGATGATGTCGATGCCGATGCCGATAATGGTAGTGGTGGTGGTGATAATGATAATAATGAATATGCTGATGGTGATGATGATGCTGGTGATTCTGATGATGATGCTGATGATGCCGCTGCTGCTGCTGAAGATGATGATGCTGATGATGATGACGATGACGATGACGATGATGATGATGATGATGATGATGATGATGATGATGATGATGATGATGATGATGATGATGATGATGATGAAGATAAGGATGATGGGGACCGAGCTCGGATCGCTCGCCGCGCGCGTCGAATCAGCGGAACGAGCGAGGAGGTGGCCCAACAACCCAAAAGAGCATCGCGGCCAGGGCGTCCTCGCCGCGCGCGCCTTAGTGGAGGCGACAGCAGACATGACAGTTCAACGCGAAAACAGTTCACGCGAGCAATAGCCATGCCAGAGCCCCATCACCAACGACCAGGGCACGATGGACAGAAGTCCTGACATTGGGTTCGTCGCGGAGAGACCCCCCCCAAGAAAGATTCAAACGATCACGCTTGTTCGGCTCTCGACGGAGATGAGTTGGATCGCAAGGCAGCAGCAAGCCTCCACGAGCCGCGCCTCGCGTCTAGGATCCGCACGCCGTGCGCGCCACGAGCTCGTCTGCGACCCTGACCCTATGCCCCCTGCACGCCTCAGGCGGCACGGGGCCAGACTCGGGGAGAGGCGCAGTAGGTGGGGTTGCCGAATTCGCCCCTGGCTGCCCCCCCCGAACCCTCTTGGGACGGGGCGCCGCACTCCCTGGTTGGCCCGCAGGCCTGGCGCGTGGCCGACTGGGCGCGAGAGCCCTAGGGAACCCGCTAGCCGCGGCCGGCGGGAATCCAACCAAACCCTCCACACGGGCATCCGGCGCCAGAGCTCCGGGGTGCGATCCCGCCGACCCCGAAGATGCAGAAGTACGAGGCCGCACGGCGCGAGCAGAAGGAGCACAGGCAAGGCGCCTCTGACAGCGTGGCGGCGCGGGAGCTCCAGGGAAATCCGCGCCGGCCCCACCCGAGTCAGGATCAGTCGCCTGAGCTCCAGAAGCGGATCCAAACGACGGCTCGGAGGGCGAGAAAGGCACAGAAGCCGTCGGCGCCGCTCCAGTCATCAGCGCTGCGGCAGCCACCATCGCCTGGGAGGCGGTGGACGTGGCCGGACTGCATTCCGACGGCTCGATGTCCTCGGCGAAACGCACTTGCTTGCGAGGCCCCTGGGCAGCCTGGGACGAATCAAAAACCGACTGGGGCACCCTCCCTCGCGCCTGGGGCCGCCGATCACTGGCTCGACATGCTGGCATCCTGGGGCGCCGCCGGAGGCGCCCCTGGCGGGCCCCGAAAACTGGGGCCAGTTTCTGGGACTAGTAACTGACGGGTGTTTTTGGGCCGCTCCAGGGGTTGCTGCTGCGGGGCGCGGAGGGGGAGGAGGAGGAAGCTCAGAGGCCCGCTCGACCACGTCACGCCGAGCCGCCTGGGCCCGCGCCTTGCGCTCCCTCCCTATGCACGTCTGGCAGAGCAAGCGCGCGACCAGCCAACGTGCGAGATTTTCTCCTGCACCATGCGCAACGCCACCACGAGGCAATCAAAAAACGGTACATGAGTATAGGCTGCCGTCACGCATGGCTGACCCTGGCGTCGCCCTGGCTGGCGCGTCCGCCGCCCTCGTGCACGCGGCGGCCGCGGATCGCGATCTGGCGCCAAGGCACCCGACTTCAGGCCGTCGTGCACCGCTGCCACCCAGCAAGCCGTCTGACGAAGGTGTCGAAGAAGGACCTTGGACTCTAGCCTCTGCTGGTCCGTAAAGCAGAGGAGTCCCCAGCGAGCGAGCGCGTCCGCCCAGGTGTTGCCATGCCGATGCTGGTCGTTGCTGCTCTGGTGCCCACGGGCGTGAACGATGCGCACGTCCGGGCCGCCGTGGTCATCCAACTTGGCCCACAGCTGCACCCACAGATCGCGATTCGAGCGCCTAGGGCAGTGCGCCCACGCGCGCCCGCGCGCCAGGCCGAGGATAACCTCCAGGTGATCCGTGTGGGTGCAGAAGGGCGGGACGGCCACCAGCAGAACCTGAATGACCGCCCTGAATTCGGCCCTGGAGTTCTCGAGAGTGACGGGGCCCCAGCCCGCTCTCGCAGCCTGCGGGCGGCTCCAATGCTTCAGGCAGCAGCCGTCGGCGTAGATGAGGCGTGTGACCGTGAAGCCCGGGGCGGCCAGCAGCGCGTGCCAGCAGCCGCTGTCGCCGCGGGGAGGGAGAACAGGTAGCGAGGACGGCGACACCGCCAGGCGCGCCCAGCGAGGGTCGTTTTACATGATGTGTGACAATCCGTCGAGCAGGGCCCCGTCCAGGCCAACTCCCGCTCGGGCTGGCACGGCTCGCACTGCCAGTAGCGGTGAACGGGTGTGCCACCCGTCAGCCGCGCAGCCGTACCTGTGCAGCCTAGCCTGGGACCAGGTGGCACCCGCGACGAGAAATCGAACGGTGCCAGCGCCAGTTTCTGGCTGCTGGACCGTGGAAGGGGCCGCAACGCGTAGGTCCAACACGCCGCCCTCGTCCGTGCGCCAGGCGAAGGCGGAGGACGCGACCCAACCCAGGTCTCTCAGCGCCAGGCATGCCGCGCCGGCAGGGCCCATGACGCCAAGGGGCCAGGGGCCAGAAGGCCGGAGGGGCCTGGCGCCGCCACGCTCGCTGCACGTCCGAATTGTCCATCCTCGGATCCACGGCCGTCAGCGCCCAGTTGAGTAGGGCTTGCGTCCATGCCGCACGCTGCGGCTCGGCATGCGCCCCTGGTTCCGAGCAGGCTGCCAGCCAGGTCGAACAGCATTGCAACATCACCCGCGCACGTACCCGATCCTTTTTACACACATGGTGGATCTGATCATGACCGCCGAACTCCAAATTGACATCTCTGTATACTTCGCCAACCACGCCGACAGAACCGTGCGAGCTCGTCTAGATCTGCGTTGACCCGCACTCCGCCGTGCCTCTTAGGAGCCCACGAAACTCGCAACAATTGTGCAATCCGCAACCCTCCGACGGAGATGTGAGATCTCGCCTAGACCAACGTTGCCCTGCACACCGCGATACCTCCAGGCGCTTACGAAAATGGCGACAATTGTGCCAATTCCCAGTCCCCGAGGGGGCCGCGAAGTCTCGAAGTGACCCCCGCTGCCCTCCGTGCCTCACAGGAGCCTACGGAAGTGGCAAACCCACGAAAGCGGCGACGATGTCGCATTTCGCAGCCACCCGGGGATCAGCGAGACCTCGGCTGGGTCTGCGTACCACTCCACTCCACGGGACGCGGGACCTCACAATAAACCCACGCACATGGCGACAATGGCGCACTTCGCAACCCACCTCAAAGAACCGCGAGGTCTCGGCTGGATCTGCGTACAACTCCACTCCGCGGGACCTCCCAGGAGCCCACGGAAATGGAGAGGGTTACGAATTTCGCCCCTCCCCCCCCCCCCCCAAGGAGCCGCGAAGTCTCGGCTGGATCTGCGCACGACTCCACTCCTCAGGCCCTCCCAGGAGCCCACGAAAATGGAGAGGGTTGCGAATTCCGCCCCTCCCCCCCCTAAGGAGCCGCGAGGTCTCGGCTGAATCTGCGTACAACTCAACTCCGCAGGATCTTCAAGGAGCCCACGAAAGCGACAACAATGGCGCACTTCGTAGCCCCATCCAGGGAGCCGCGAGGTATCGTCTGGATCTACGTGCAACTTTACCCCGCGGGACTCCCCAAGAACCCACGAGTGCGGCGACAATGTTGCACTTCGCACCCTCTCCCAAGAGCCGCGAGGTCTCGGCTGGATCTGCGTACAACTCCACGTCCCGAGGAGGAGGAGGAGGAGGAGGAGGAGGAGAAAGGAGGAGGAGGAGGAGGTGGAGGTGGAGGAAGAGGAGGTGGAGGAGAGGAGGAGGAGGAGGGAGGAGGGGAAGGAGGAGGAGGAGGAGGAGGAGGAGGAGGAGGGAGAAGGTGGAGACCACAGTGCTCTATTCACACCGAGATCCCACCACAGGAGGGCTTGGAATCAACTGCAATGCGACTCAATCTGCAATCCAATGCCAACTGGTTTGACGTGGTCGTAGTCGGCGCTGCGCGCTTTGCACATCCCTGTTCGGCTCGCACGCGGAATCGTCACCAGAAGCTCAGGCTCGAGCAGCGAAACGCGGCACTCCGAAGCATTGCAGGATTGCACTGCGCAACAACTGCAGTGCACAACACCTGTCTTGCTGTCGTCGTCGTGGTTGGCGCTGCGCACCTCCCTGGGCCGCCTCGAAGCACGTTCGGCTTGCACGCGGGATCGTAATCAGAAGTTCAAGCTCTAGCAGCGAAACAGCAGGCATTCCGATGCTGAGGCTCAAAGCGGGTTTCAAATTTGCTCTTTCGAAGCTTGGCGCCCCGCCGTGCGCTACACGGCTAAGACGTTTGTGTATGTCATGTTTTGATCTTCGACGCTCGCTGCATTCCGAGGCACGGCGGCGACAGGGGGCAGCGACGGCGGCGGCGGCGATGGCGGCGGCGCCCTCGTCTGTTGTTGGTTGGCGTTCGCTGCCCTGCGGGGCACGGCGGCGACGGCGACGAGGGCCATGACTTCAGCGGTGGGCGGCGGTGGTGCGCGCCTTTGGGCGCCGGCGCGGCGGCCTGCACGGGGCCGCACGGGAGCTCCCGCACGGCGGCGGTCCTCGGGGCGCGGCCACCTCGGGCGCGGCCGCCGCCGCATCCGTGGCCGCCGTCGTCGTCGGCGCCGCCGACGCCGTCGTCGCCGTCGCCGCTGCCGCCGCTGCCGCCGTCGCCGTCGTCGCCGCCATCGCCGTCGTCGCCGTCGCGGCCGCCGTCGCATCCGTGGCCGCCGTCGCCGTCGCCGCTGCCGTCGCAGGCGTCGTCGCCGTCGTCGCCGCCATCGCTGCCGCCGTCGCCGCCGTCGCCGTCGGCGGCGTCGCTGTCGTGGGCGTTGCGGTAGTGGGCGTCGGCGTCATCGACGGAGCTGTCGGCTTCGTCGAACTCGTCGTCCTCTTCCACGCCTCCCTCCAGCTCCTCGTCCTCCTCCGCTGCAGGATTTCACCACGTGGCCCCGAGATGGGCCCCCGATGGCCCACAAGGCCGCGCAGGATGGCCTCCAACACCGCGGCGGGGCGCAAGAGGCGGACGGCGCCGCGCCTCCGAGCGCGGGCACGAAGACGGCCACGGTGAGCGCCTGGCGCACGAAGGACAGCGCCGCGGGCGTGGGCGGC